CACTTCGATCCAGAGTTCAATGTCTCAACAAGTATTGGATTGGTGACAGTAAAATGTGGTGCAGACGTTCATGTTTACCACAGATTTAATTATATTAACTAAAGTTCATAAGCCCCTGACTTTACTGAATTTCCTTTCGCAGCATATTGAAGTTGTCAATTTTGGTTTGGAGTGAAAAGTTATGATAAAAATTAAATGGATTGCCGTGATGCGCAGACATTCATGATCCCCAGAGGATGAATTGTATTAACATACGTAATTTGTCATCTAATTTGCATAGCAGTAAATGTTAGCATGCTAAATACGATGGTGGGCATTATTTGCTTAACATCAGCATGTTGACATTTTCATCGTGAGCATTAGCAATCGGCTCAAAGCATCACAACTGAGGTAAAGCACTGTCGCTTTGTTAGAGCTGCTAGCATGGCTGTAAAGGCTGTAGCAGGGCTGCTTTTTTCTAACTCGTAACTTTTCATTTCCTTGGACTTTGTAGGTGTAGTGTATTAAATACAAATCAGCACTGCTGGACTTGTCCTGTTCTTTAATGATATTTATAGAGATGTATTAATGCCCACACACAGAGTAATTATAGTTTTATTCAGATATGTGACTGTGATCTACACCTTTAAACGTACAGTATGCTGCCCCGTTTAAATTGTGGCAAATCCTCCCTCCTTTATGCCCTCCCTCTTTTCACTATACCCTCCCTCCTCTCACACACTTCCCTCCTCCCTCTACCCACCTCAGCACCAGGTCCCATCCCAATTTTCCGGAACTGGCTGTTCTGCTAATTCCCTCTGAGAGCCCTATTGCCTGTGCTTTGGCCCAACTCGGGATGCTGTCAGCATCAGAATGGTCCTGTCCTCCTCACTTAGGATCCTGACTTACTGGACTAGGAAACCCTTGTAAACACAACAACACAGTATTAATGAACTTACTCTGCTTATTGACTCTTTCTCTATAATAAACAAATTGGACCTTTTTTTTAAATGATGAAGCAAAGACAAACAATTTTAGTTGTGACACAGTATAAAAAATGACTTAGATCAGAGCTGGTTCATTCATGCACAGATTTGAGTGGCTAAAAATATTTTACATCTAGTGGCCTTTACATCTCTCTCTCTCTCTCTCTCTCTCTCTCACTTTGTGCCCTACATCTGCACTCCATTCCTTCATCCCTCTCTCATCCTGCTCTCGCTCTCAACATGATGGGTTGTGTCCAGTCAGTGGGCAGCTTTGGTGTAATTTGGCCCACAGGGGCTGTTGGCAGTAGGTGTGGGGATAAAGGGAGCTGGGATGGTGGGGTTTGGAGAAAAGCAGGCTTAGTGTGGGGCCTTGGATGGAAGGGCCAGCAAGCACATAGGAAAAGCATTAAATAAACATTAATGCAACTAGGTTACAGGAGATTTATTAAGGAGGCTTTTTGGGCCCCCACTGTTGGGTTTTATGCAGTACTTTAATAACTCTCTCATGCACACCGGTAAACAAACCAGGTAATTTATTGCCATCCTCATAGGTGACCATTGTAAAAACAGTTTTAACTTTGTTTTGGCTCATTTCTCCTCTCTTTCTCGGTTTTATCACCAAATTGAATTGAGTCTGACTCCAAAAAGCTTCCTTTTTTTTTTTTTATTACATCTAGGGTAAGTCTGACTTGGATATGATTTTGATGTCACTTTGTAGTGTTAAAAATGAGTGCCCTTAATCTGAGCTTACTGATGTTAAATGTACCCTTTTTGGCGTGTCAAACACACAGATAAAAAGTGACTGATTAAACACAGTAATGAGGACACTGTGGCAGCACAAGAAACTAATTCGAGACTTTAACAAGGACAGGGCGGCTTTTGGCAACAACAGGAGATTTGAGAGAGAGAGAATTCTAAAAACATGAACTAGTAGAGCACTGCCATCGACGTCACATTTCACATCTGACATTGTCTTTGTAAATCAACACTGTCAGATGAGATGCTGTCAGAAACTGGAGTTGTTTAAGCCAAGCCTTAATGTGTTATGTTTAGTGACATGCTCCTATTCCACAAGCCCTTTTTGAACTTGGGCTTGGATTGTTTATCCTTCAGTTATTCCAGACTCAGTTATTGAAATAGTCTTAAAAACTCCTGGGCTTTTCAGAACTCCAAGAAAGACAAGGCACTGAGCGATAGAGTGCCCATATTTGCAGTGTATTTGTGTTCTAATCTGACCCTTAGCGTAAAAATCCAGGGATATCTTTAATAGCATGTACATTTGCAACTTTGAGCACTCAAGCCCTGGAGCAATTGTCTTGCTTTCTATTGTTGAGGTGCAGTGCACAGAAAGTGCAGCACTTCGCTGAGAACCGCTAGAAGAGGAGAGCAGAGACACACGGGGTCGGGGCAGCCAAAGGCTGCGTCACGCTTTACCTTGAGACCCATCGCTTTTGCTCCCTGCTCTGCTTCAAGCCCAAGCGATGAGAATACCAGACACAGCTCAGACAGCCTACTGATGAAAATTCACTCTCAGTAGAAGAGAAAGAAAGGAAAGTTTTTGTTTGAGTCAGAGAGTTTTATGGAGAGAATATCATGGAGAAATGTAGAAAGAATTATAAAGGGAATGTGTTTAAAAGTGGTAGACAGGAAAAAAGGAGAAAGACGTAGAAAAAGAGAGAAGGAGAGACAATAAAGGATAAAATACAACCTGACAGAGAAACATTCAAAGAATGGGTCTGTGACCATGTGCAATGGTACTATATATACGTGCATGTGTACTATATATACATGTATGTGTGTGTGTGTTTGCCGGTTCATTCTGTGTCTGTATGTGTGTTTGATGAAGGCTCCAGCATACCGGCTGTCTCGCTGCAGGATAGTGTGCGTCAGGCTCCATCAATATGACACGTCTTTGATGTGGAAATACAAGGAGCAAAAGCCCAGTCAGCCTCAGTCCAGTACCCAACGGGACCCTTTACCACCGTGCATGTGCATACATGTGTATTTCAGCGTGTGTGAGTGAGAGATAGGAGAGAAAAAACAACGCGGAGCGCCACAAGCCGCAACAAGCAGCAAAAGTAACCACTGCCTCAATATTTTAAACTACCATTCTACAAGGAGGGCAACCGTTGTGACCTTAAGATTTCCTGACCTCAAAGCACTTTGGACTCTGCTGTAGAGAGGAATCAATAATGTATCTAAATGTCGTTAATAATCAATTCCATGACAGAATAATATAAACATGTATTTAGCTGACACATTAATGTTTGGCTTCCTTTTTGAAATTAACCTGTTGCTGATTCTTGTTTTCAGTTGACCACAATACATATTTTATCCTTTGTAGACATGTTTCCATTCTGACCAATTAGGCATCATTGAGGGGAGTATTTTAAGTGAAGCACAGTCTAGAACTTGAAACTGACTGCAGTAGTATTGTTGGATTAAGCACTCATATTTACTTTCACGATGTTGTTGTTGGTGGTAGATTGGAACCTAGAAAGAGATACTTTTTTATTTACAAGAATCATTCCAAGACTCACTGTAGAAATCTGTCTGGTTTGGATGTTAAAAAGATTTCTTTCTTTTGGCAAAAGTTTAACTTTTACGTGTACCGGGCCCCTGAGTTTTCACACACAAGTGCAGTGAGGTGGAGGTGGACAAAAGAACAGATAAGTACCGGCTGACAGAAACAAGGGGGATAAATCATGTCCAGGCAGACAAGGGGATAAAGAGAGGGAAGAGGAAAGACAGAAGGATGAGTCCATCCATCGGGCCTGTGTGTGGGCTTGCTGCTGACCTGGACCGTGCCGATGATACTGCGGTTGAAGTAAACACTTGCAGGGAGGTAATCCAACCGGCCTACCATTTCAACGCTTCTATTTTCTGTCAGTTACACAAAGACCTTTTTGCATACATGCTTACATGTGAGCATATGAACAGTAAGAGCACAAATACATCACACACATGCAGGCACGTGTGAATGTGTTGTTTGTATCCACATGGGGGACACAACAATTCCTGAACCTCAACATGGACGTCTACCAAGATAGCAACGAACAAACAAACCATGAATACTGTATTCACTAAAATGATTCACTGTAAACTGCATACGTTTACAAAACACAAAGATATTAACTCAAAAGCCATATCGTTACTATTTGTGTTTTATTGTCTTGCTCTGAAAGTCGGTTCTATCTGTTATGATTACTTTGTCCTCGGAAACATGAGCAGCCAAGTTAATCAAAGTTCTTTGTAAGAGAAAACAAAGGTCAATGGCCACTTTGACAGAACGTACTTATTTTTGTTGGGCACAAATTGTTGATGCACTGGTGCTGGTGGAGTTTATATTGAGGGTAGATTTTTTCTTTTTTTGTCGATGTTTGCAAGTAAGTACATGTATGTTTATAGCTGCTGGCGTATATGTGTGTGTGTGTCCTGTTTGCGTCCTGTGTGCGTTTGAGTCTTGGAGTCTCAGACTCGCATGCAGTGCAGTCTCCATGAGGTCAGTGGCTGCTGTGATAATGCTGAACTGATGCCGGCTGTCAATAGCCATTCACCAGGAGAAAAGTGCTCGCCTGTTCAGTAAATTACACAGTGCGACGTGAGCTGTGAGGTTCACAACAACCTGACCCCACTGTTGTTGGGAGAAACAATAGAACAATGACTGCAATAAGCTTTTCCAGCAACCATCTGTGTCATGCTGCTGACTACAAAACACCATTCCATTACTCCAGGGCTGCAGCTATTAGCTCACCATGGCATTGACTCCTAAGTGAGTTAGAGGGGTTATTGTACTGGCACATTCGATTGTCTCTGACCCTCCTTCATCCAGGCTTTTGTTTTGTTGACCTTGACATAGGTGGGCTTTTTGAATGCAATAAAGACTGAAGTGATCATTTCTCAATGTGGCTTGTTTTGTTGTGGATGAACATATTTGTGAGGTGTCATTATATTGCTGACTACAGTAGTATTATAGTAGTTTTGTCTGAGCTTGACATATGTTTTTCTCCATTTTTCCTTAACTGTGTTTCTCACGACTTCTCCAAGCATTCCCGTGAGCAGTATGAAAAACTGTCCACGATGCACAAGAACATGCAGAAGCTCTATGAGAGCATAGGCAGCTATTTTGCCTTTGACCCCCACTCGGTCGGTGTGGAGGATTTCTTCGGAGAACTGTCCAACTTCCGCATCCTCTTCATGGTGAGTATATATAGATTATGGTTTGGCACATATACATGCAAAGTCTCATGTTTATGGTTCTTTCCAAGTAGACTCACACACAGAAGCCACCACCCACACATGAACATTCTTTCGTACACAATTTCACTTGCTTATTACACACACATCGGGTGTCATTGAAATGTGAACAGAATTTGTGTGCGCACATCTTCATCAGAGTTTCAGGAGGTCCGAACGAACATTACAATGTTATTCTGTTATGGATAAAACTCATGTGGGCGGGAACGTATTTTCAGCAGGAGTAGCAGCCCCTGTATACATGCATACTCCCAACAGCTTACTTGCACGTGTTTATTATTTTTTACAGTTAAATCTTACACGACAAACTGTATTTTTCATATGATGGACAATATTTCCACTTAAACCGACTTAATACACAAGGGCTGATCTCTTACTTTGCACCACTATGCAATGTTACCTGAACAATCTGTATCAGATAGTGTTGCTAATTACGACCGCATGTCTACCTGTATCTGCCAGGCAGCGTAAAAAAAGCAGTGTAGATAATAAATAAATGTGCCGAGGGAAGTACAGATAACATGCAGTATCACTTTCGCCACTGGACGTCTGGTTTTGGAATATCTTAAGTGAAAAAACCGACTCCATTATTTTGCTATGGCCAGTAATGTTAAGCAGCTCCTCTAAACCGTTGGCTGAGGTGAAGGCGTGCAGTCATATGAGAAAAGTGTTCCCACTGTTTTTCTCGAGGAGTTAATATTCAACTGTAATCTGGACGTGAGTAACAAGTGAAACATTACACCTGATAGTCCATCAAGGTTTGTGCTTTTGAGCCAATCAAATTCTAGTTTCAATTCCAGGGGGGGATTTCACTTTCCTCATATAAAACTGCAAGGTATTGGAGAGTGCACCGTATTTTCTGGCCACCTATTTTGGTCTTTATATTCCCTTGGTTGGCCCTGACATGCTTTTCATCCGTTTTTCTTCTAAGTTCTTGCACCTGCTGTGTGATTTCCTTCCATATGTCATTGTTTAGTAGGTCATAATGCCACTGCGTCTGCCAACGATTTATTTTTTCATTTTCTCCAACGCCATCGTAGTCTTGAAGGTTATGAACATGGGTCTCTGTAACACTTTAGTTTAAATCCCCCTTTTTATTATCTATAATCAGCATATAAATAAATAGTTTATAACCAATGATAATGTGATTGTTAGCAGATATATCTGCTAAATAATTTATTGGTGAACAACTACAACTCCTCCTGTGGTCACCTGTAGTTGGAGGCTGCTGTAAAAACAGATAATGAATGACAATATAGTAAACAACACAGTTGTGATGATATATAATATGTCTTCATAGGAGAAATGTTGATTGCTTACAAATACCATACATTAATAAACACTTAAAATGTCCTTACGTCTGCCCACAACTGCATTATAGTACATTATAAACCATTTATTAAATGTTTGTACAGCTTATGTGTGAAGTGTCTTAACTTACCCTCTTCTTTTCCTAAAAATGGGCTGCAGATGTTTTATTCAAAATCAGTTTGGTCCAATCGACATGCTGGATCTGGCATGTGTTTTAAATCTGGATACATAAGAAGATAATATCACAAACGAGACCCTTTGTTTTAAAAGTACATAGTTTGAATACAGAAGTAAATAAATCGATTAAATATTATATTAATTATGATATAGGTAGTATGTATAGAAGCTAATGCATATGCAGCAAATGCAGCTAACAATGCATATTTTCCAATCTACATGCACTGTTCTATACATCCAAAAATAGCTTGATGGCATTTACCCAAGTATCCTGAGTTACAGATGCTCAAAGCTACATAACATAACATATATATATATATATATACTGAAAGTAGCTTAGAATAGGATAATGTATAATAACAGTGTCTTACTGATAAAAGAGCTCGATAAAGGCTTGGGCAAGCCGCTTTACCTGTTAAGCATACATTCATTAGCTTGCAGTGGTTTGTGTCTGTGTGTGTGCATGTGCCATCTCTACAGGGCATTGCAGATACCGCTGGAATGTATTAGGGGGTAATGAGTCTCGAGAGGAGGTTAGGATTTTAAAATCCTAAAGTCGGTGAAAATGCCATCCACTCCACCTGAGAGTTTTAAACTATAATGCAGGGAAAATAAGTCTTTTATCTACTTCTACTGAAATTTTAATTTTGGGACACTCCACAAAAAAGAAATGTTTTTAGAATATATTCCATAAACGCTCCTCCTTCGGCACTATATTACAGTGTTTATCATGTAACGCGTTTAAATTCTTGTCCAGATTTCTACAATAAATGTAGAAAGAGAATACACAAGTGGGAAAAGTCTGCTTCTTCCAGTTTTATAGGAAATGTGGTTACCGAGAGCAGTGAACAAAGCCAACAGGGGAAAGCAGATCAGTTGTTAAAGAGGTCATATTAATGACAAGGAAACACCACATCCTCTCAGAACTAACCAAGAGTTCTTTTTTTCCTGAGTAGACAAGTCTGTTAAATATCTATTATTTTGTTTTTCCACCTTCTACGGTCTGCCCATCCCTCCTGGCACCACCCCGAATATTCCTGGTGTCAGGATGATGACTCGGTGTCTAGAGGGCATGCTCTCAGTCTTCTCAATCCATTTATGTGAATGGCAGGGTCCCCTTGTCTGAATCCTTTCCTCTCTTTATTGTAATACCCATCTGAAACCAACTTTTCATTCCCACTGATCAAAGTGCACCAACACACAACACAACACTCCCTCAAGGATTCCAGAGTTGCATATCTCTAAAAGAGGCATCCACCCAAGAAAATAAATTATTCTCTCAAGCAAATAGCTGCATATGAATATTTTATTACTGATTTAAACTTCCCTGCGATGGATAAGGGGAGGGAACTGAGTGGGATAAAGTGTTGTGCGGTTGAAATTGGGGGGGGGGGGCTGGTTTTAATGTATTCATATAAAAACAATCCTTTAATCACCATATTCTTCAGATATTATTTATAGTTTTTGGCTCCTCTGCTATGCTAAAGGAAAGGCTAATCCCATCTGCTCAATGGAATCAATGGTTGTTTCTACTTGAATGTTTTCATTTCCTTACTCTGTGAAAATAACTGAGCTAGCTCCTTTGTAGCATCCTCCTCAGCTTTTTTTTTTTTTTGTCAGTGAAGGAATTTTGGGGAGATGTCTGCTAGTTATTTATCTTTTGACAAAGTCGACCTACATCAACCATCACTGATTTCTTCCAAATGGCAAATCTAATGAATATTATGACTTCTTGGCAGCTAATATTTTAGGGAAGAGCGCTGAATGTAACTTATTGATATGCCTGGTGTGCCTCAGACCTTTATTTCAATATGGAGTTGTTTGGCTCAGACAGAACATCTCCGCTAACTTCTGCCTTTGTTGCATTGCCCTGTGTAATGCATTCACAGCACAAAGCATCTGCAGTATTAAAGAATTCATTGCAATACAGTCACCTTGCAAAAAGCAAGGGTGCAAAAAGCTAGGGCTTAATGCACCCGACCGACATGAGCATTTGAGTAAACGCATTGACAGACAGTCCTCACAGAACTGAATGTAACTGATAAGAGAATCCATTAACTCTATTTCCCTTCTGTTTCATCTCTCTTTCTCTCCCTCACTCCTGTACCATTCTCTTTTTTATTTCGTTTTTTCTGCGGCCGATGAAATATTATTTGATTCCAGCACATGGAGACAGTATTCGAAGAGTCCAACAATTTGTTAATTTAATGCTGCTGCCATATTCTGAAATAGAGTATGAGTGAAATGCAATCGCAGGGTGTGTATGTGTAATCCTGACCAAGAGCATTGGGGATGAGGATTTTTCCCATTAATGAGTTATCAAAGCGCAGCAGATGGGCTGGGATGAGCTAACAGTCTTCCTTGTTAATTGAGTGACTTTCTAATAAGACCAAAAGATCCAGACCAGGTTCCCAAAGTAGCAAGATAGAGCATCTATGAGATTAGAATGATTTGTGTGTGTGTGTGTGTGTGTGTGTGTGTCCGGGTGTATCCGTCCACTTCGGAGCCCATTTGATATTTCTAAAGCTTACTAATTCCTTCACAATATGACAAATTAGCATAATCATGCTAATAATGCTGAAGATGAGGCTCTGGCATTGCCACTCTCCCCCACCTTATTGCTGAATCACTGTCGTGTTTCCTCATTATTTTCTCTTGCACTAGCATGACACATAAAAATCATTGCACCAGATTTTGGAGGTCACCTATCAATATGGGAATACATCTATACCGCAGAGCAGAAGTCTCACAGTCTGTAACCTATAACTTCTTGAAGCTACACCCCCCCTCCACACCCTGGCACACAGTGTAACAGATGGCTAATAAACACATTTGCTGCTTAAAGCCCAGACACTGTAGTGTTTGTAAAATTCAAATGAGATATAGCAGCGACACTCTCTGTGTGAGATCGCTGGTGCAACTGAGCAGTTGGAAATACTCATTGCTCCCTCATTGGATTGGCAAACTTGTATGCATGGGAAGGGAGCCGTGCTGTGGGAGATGTATTGTGTTGTGCAGGGTCAAGGAAGAGCAGCAAATACATTGCATGAATTATTGAAAGAACAGACCCCGAAAAAGGAAAATGCTGCCTGGCCCTTGTTGGTAGATTGGACCTGCGTCGCACAACATTTAGTTTCCCAGTCAGTTATAGATAGAGGTGTACTTATAATCTCCATCTTAGACACACCGGAGGCCATGAGAAGAAAGGAGTGTATGTCACACCCATGGCCTCTGGTGTGTCTAAGATGGACAGGCTTTTAGGCTCATAAAGCCTCAATGTGCCGCCTCAATAGTGTTGTTGACAACTCCAGCTGGCATTAAGGTGCTATTATGCTAAACCACACATTTTGTTTTGTCTTTTCGTGAAGATTCTTATTCTACATTTGCATACCATTTACATACCCCCCTGAGCAATATGTACACGGTACCTGCACCGCATTTTCCAACTTAAGACCAGAGGGGTTCAGGGCACAAAGCCAGTCATAAACGTGGCCTGTGGACTGCAGGGTTCAGTGTTGTTTAAGGATTATCAGGTAGAATCAAGGCCACGAAGGACAATGTCTATCATGGTCGATAATCATAGGGGGGAAATCTTTTGACCTTCTGGGTTAGTTTGAAGTGCTGCACTTCTGACTTAGACTTTGTATCGTATCTTTTGTTCAACTCGTCATGCTGTATTTTTGTCAAATGTTTCCAAAATATGTGCCTGTGTTTGTCTGTGGGTTTAATCTTTATTATTATTGATAGAAAATAAACTATTAATCAGAATTTAGTTTGCGAACAGAATCCTCAATTTCTTTGATTGGTAGCAAGTACTAACAAGATAGTGGGTCTCAATCATTTTCTTTCTTTCTTCCTGAAGTTGCGTACTTAGGACACTTAAGCAAGTTGTATTTCTGAAGAGGGACATGCAATGAAGTCAATATTTCTGGAAAGGCTTGTAAGTGACCCTTGTGTCCAAGGACAGAGGATGTTGTATGCTGTGCAGTTTGCAAAGCCCTCTGATGACAATTTTTAATTGTGATATTGGACTATACAAATAATATTGAATTGATTTGAATGAATGAACCTCCATTGTAAACGGAATTCACATAACGCGTTCTAGTCTTCCAACCACTCAAAGCGCTTTACACTGATGGCTGAGGCTGCAATACAGAATGGCAACCTGACCATCAGGATATAATCTAAATGTTCATTCACACACACACACACACACACACACACTCACACGCACTTACACTCACACCGATGGCACTGCCTTCAGGTGCAATTTGGGGGTTAAGTATCTTTCTCAATTACACTTCTTCATGTGGACTGGAGGAGCTGGGGATCTATTTGCCGAAAAACAAGGTAATTCAGACAACTAAATGGATTGTTTTAATGTAATATCTAAATTGCTCTGTGGTGCTTAATGATGTTATGTTTCAAGACCCCAGAAGTTAACAAGTCTTCAGTAGACTGTGGGAACTATTGGATATTACATATTTAAACTTTGTTTTGCTCATTTAGAAATTCAAAGTACACTAGATGGTTTTCACTTTAATAAATAATTAAGCTCTCATCGGGTGGCACCATAACTATAATGACGATCTTATACAACGGACAGATGACTCAGTGTGAGGGTCAAAAATAACTTGTTTCTTTGGTCACCTGGAATCATATTGTAAATATTGTACTTTGATCTTTAGTAGGTAAGAGTACTCAAGAGACAAAATGAAATCCATAGATCTTTTTTCTAAAAATATTTTTCAACAATCATACAGCATATTTGAGAGGAACCAGATCCTTTGTCTTTTGTTCAGATGAGGTTTGGATCTGGTTCTCTGCACTGAAGATTATTTTCGAAAAACACATCCCGTGAGGATTGCTTATCTCTTGTATGTATGTCCTCCTACAATATACAGCGTTGGCAAGAAAACGAGACCTGATACGATCAGTTGTTGCCGACGGCAAAATAGAGGCCGTCAAAGAGAATGGTAAAGGGAAGAATAAGCGATCAGTGAAAACATATTTGTTGCTATGGCAATTAGTGGTGCTGTGTGATTAGAGCAACATAATTACGTTGCATAATCATGTTTACACTCAGAATTAGTTGTTTGTTTAAAATAAGTTTAGCCGGCAGGATTGTATTTGTAATCTGCGTAATTTATCGTCCAATTTATGCTGTTAGATGCTGAGCAATGCAGTGATATTACTTCCAAAATGACCTGAGTCCTGTCAGTGGATGAGGACAGCAATCAATCTGATTTGTGCTGCGAGGTGCTGCCCATCACTTGAACAAAATGCACAAGTTAACTATTTCGTTGCTGAATATACGTCACAGCTCTCATCAGCTCTAATTCAAAAGAGCAGCAAAGTGCACACAGTTGACAGCCCTCATAGAGTGTAGCTGCAACCTCGATAAAATGTAGGTTGATTTTGAGTGTTCACCGACAGTTTACGAAGCAAAACGTCCCTTATGTTCTCGTAATGCACGTAATACAAAAACACATTCACTCCCTGTTATTATTCTGCCTCTCTCTCTCTCTCTCTCTCTCTCTCTCTCTCTCTCTCTCTCTCTCTCTCTCTCTCTCATTGCCCTTGTCATCCAACAAGGAGACAGTGAGAATGAGGGCTTGTGTCCTTGGACATGGAGCAAAGCTCTACTATTGACTGGCATCATGAGCTGCTCTTTCCTTGTTCCTTCCCCACAATCCCTGTAATCCCTCTGTCTTAGCTGCCAACACGGCACACACATCAGGACCACAGGGGCATTAGATGGGGGGGGGCCCGACTGTCGCAACTTATTATATCAGTGCACAGACAGGGCCATGCCTTCACTTACTAACACACACACACATATGCATACATAAGGGGGAACATCACAGATGAGCAGAATCACAGAGATGCCCATGGACAGCATAGGCACACAGGCTTATATACATGTATCTACATACAGTATGACCTCTCACACACATAACACCTATGATTGGTCCTGTCAAGTACTCTGCCACAGGCCTGGGATGAGAGAACATTTGGTTGTCTCCAAAGGTCACACAGTTGCATCTTACTCTCTGTTGGCACAAGAACAAACTGACACATTTGTAAAGGCTGAATCTGTAGCGTTGATTATCTCTCTTTCTCTGACTCCTTCCTGACATTTCAGCCGGTCACGAAGGAGGAGGAGGATAATATCTCTGTCTCTGTCCTCAGAGATTGGCACACTGTTGCTACTCTTTTCTGATGCAATGGCTCCCACATACTGTCAAAGGAAATACCCTAGCATGGTACATATGATGATCATCTAGCTTTTTGAGCTATTTTGATGTATTATTGACAACAAATCTGCTTTGTGTTTTATTGGAAATATGTAAAGCAGTGCAGAAGCCTTGCAAATATGCTTGTATTAAAATGAATGATATATTGTTTATTCCAGCAGCTTATCTCTAACTATCAAACCCTTCTCTGAATAAGAATTTGCTGATGGCATGCTGCCGCTTCGCAACACTATACAGTAGCGTAGACACTAAAAGAGTGGGGGTGGCGTGAGACAGATTCTGATTATATCTGTGTGTCTGTGTGTGTGTGTGTGCCTCATCAGGAAGCAGTGAAGGAGAACCACAAGAAGAGGGAGATGGAGGAGAAGATCAAGAGAGCCAAGCTGGCGAAGGAGAAAGCAGAGCGGGAAAAGCAGGAGCGGCAGCAGAAGAAGAAGCAGCTGATTGACATGAACAAAGGTATGCCACTTCTGCCCGCGCCACCACAGAGACAGAGACGGGGAGGCAGGTGGGGAGTTAGGACGAGGAGAACAGGAGGATAGAAGGGGGGTTTCATGGAATTGTGCTTCACACAGATTTGAACTCTGAAGGAAGATGATAATGTGGAGGAGTGGGGGGAGTCATCTCTTTCAGCTGTGAAGGAATCTCATACTTACTCCCATAGCCAATACAATGCTTCCAAACAACAGACAGATTATGCTACTTTTAGCTTTTTTTTTTTTTTTGCCATGGTACATTTGCCCACATAGAAAGAAACATTCTCTCCTGCAATTATATGCATTTCTAAAGCTGTAACACAACAACTATTACAACTCGTGTCATAGTTCAGTAATAGTACCAGTTATTGGAATGTAGTCATATATAATTACAAGGACTTTGTTTGAGTCCTCTAGAACTGGCAGTGGCATGCAATATGTAGGTCACACAAACCAGGAAGCTGTGGTTGCCTTACAAAAGAGGCTGAAAGTGGCTCTTGATTGCACTTCCAACACGATCATGCTGTTGTTGTTCGTTTTTATCACTGGTCTTGTGCAAGCAACACGACAGATAAATTATCATTCCTCCAGTCGAAGACTATTTGCAGGCAGCCCGCTGTATTTATTGTTGTTAACTGCTGGAATTACTCTATTGTCCTCCAGCGACACCAGTAAACCATGTATTGATCAGCGCAAGTTGCAGTTGTTCAGACATGAAAAATTTGAGCGACAGAGCTAGATGCCTGTGTCTAGTTATACCAATGACATTGAGAAGGAATTTCAAGCCTGAAGGGGCTTCGCAAGTAGTGAGTGTGGTCTTTTGTCCAATTTTTTGACAAACAGTCTGGGATTTTTCACAATTCACCAGCTTCTAAATGTCAGCGTCAGCGAAGGACCTCTCTGTAGCTCAGCCACATGGGGAAATGTGACAAGACAGTCTTCCGTATGCCACAAACTCTCCTAGATAATTGATGCACACTACAGCTTTTTTTTTGTTCTTCCTTTTTTTCCCACCCTGAGCAGTGACCTCTTTGAAAGCTTCACTTTTAATAATCCAACATGGATGAGCTGAGAGAGTCTGTCTACCCCTCTGTCTCATGCTGGCTAACCAGATGAAGTAGGTATGATACTAAATATTTCTACCGGAGCAGATTTTGATCACAGTTCCTGAATGCCATAATATGACTTGTATGAATAAAACATGAGGATGACATGGGCAACGTTGCCTGCAGCCTTGGAGATAGTGGGGATTGTCCTCCACACCAACACCCAGCTTGTTGGACTGTCACGATCACAATGACCTTGGCAGTCATGAAATACACACTTTTGAATTTAAATCTTTGCTAAACCCAAGCTACCTTTTTAGACTGGCAAGGTCCTTACCTGCGTTGACTACACATTTCCATTAAACCTTGAATAGTTCCTGTTCTGTGTACTAACATGTCTCTAATGCAATCAGGACAATCAAATGCGGAGGTCTTTAAATGGATGATGTGAATGGAAATCTGAATTTGAGCCAGAAGCAGGTTGGAGGTTACAGCAGCTTTGTATTCCGCTCTTGTGTTCTCTCTGTTTCTTTTTAAGCTGTTTGGTTGGAACACACATACCAGGATATTCAGTGTTTTCTTGTTGCACATCATTCTTTTCTCTTCCTCTACTCCTCTTAGTTGACAGCCTTGGCTTGAGAGTCTTGGCTCTTGTCTCCCTTTCTGTTCTAAAATTCTATGTGTGCTTCAGATATTTCGAGTTAGTTATTTGAGGAGTCTTTTCACATCAATATTTCATGCCGAGCATCAGCCATGTTTTCTGTGAAGGTTGATGAAAATAAGGTAGTGTTTGGCACAAAATAGGCTTTTTTTAATACCTCTTCCCATTAATTAATCATGTCCAAACATTTTTCACATTAATTTTGCATTTTAAAGGTTGAAAGGCTAACTGATGCTCTGACATAGACCTCCAGTTTTGATCCTAACCTTGGTTTCAGACAGACAGACAGACAGACAGATAAGATTGTTGACCTCAATGTAGTACAGTTTCATTGTTTGTATGTTTACAAATCCATAAGCATTAACAGATGGAGTAAACATATGGCCATTGTATTATATAAATTAAGTACAGGTCAATGTCTCTTTAATGGATTTACTGATTTACTCATTTTATTGCTGAGACTTTTTGATGGATCGTGCTATTGTGTTTGGTGCAATTTAAAGAGGCTATTTTTGAGAAGGGATAGATTTTATGTCATTTCACAAATTGCGACCTAATCCTCTTCGCTTGCAAATGATTAACAACGAAATGCATATTTAATGAGAGCTTAATTAATTTAGCTTTTGCCAGGATTGCACCAGGGTGGGGGAGGGAAAACAGACAAATGCTTTTCGGAAACTGATTTAAAAAAAAAAGAAATCCAGTTGATAAAACTTGAGATTATACCCTCTGTAAGTGCATTGATATGTGTAGTTCTTCACCGAGCATGATTGATAGATGAGACAAGTGCAGAGCTAAACGTGTTTTCCCTGTGAAGTATTAGAAATCCTAATGTAGGAAATTGCTTATGAAATCATTACCCGCTCACCCCATTTGTTTTAATTTGCTCTAAGTGGATTTCCATATTCTCTTGAACTGACCAGATGTTCAACATTTACCAAATCGCTTTACTTCACTGGGAATAACTGTTGAACACTGCAGAATAAACCCAAACTAATGCTTCTGTTTATAGACGGTTTAGAATGGTGGTTCATCAGAGCAGGATTTTTCTTCTTTTTTTTGTGTCACTGCGACATATGAAACAATGGTGCAAGCTTCATGCCGAGTGTGTCAGGAATCGGAGCATGGAAGAGCATCTGGACTTTGTTTCTCTGAGGCATTTGTGAGGAGTAGCAGGCCCCTCTGGTCGCGTACTCGGCTGGCATCACCGGGGTCAGTGCCCCCGTCTGGGGCAAGTGTCTGGACCCACATGTCAACTGTGTACCCCAGTCAAATCCACTAAGCTTTGAACAGAGCCGGAAAGCGCACATGCCGCTTTGAGCACAATGCAGCTTGGCATAAGGCACATAGAAATAAACAAACAAGGACAAAAAAAAGAAGTTATTTGAACACTTTATTTAGTCCAGGCAATTTGCCCAGGTACTGTACCACAGAGAAATAGTGAAGAACTTTGTGTTTAACATGTTGACTGTCAACTTTTCTCAGGCCTACTTTATACAGTATGGCTTTGAGTATGTGAAAAGTTGTAGTTGCTTGAGTCACAGCCTAGTTCACCATATAAACCTCTGAAAAACATTGTTATTGCCAACCTGAGGAATATCAAGTTTAGGAGCATATTGGTTGTAGCCTGCGAGTTTTACAACACCTTTTATGGGTACACCAACTGTCTGCTATCGTACCTGACTACACACATTGAATGTAATCCAACTGGATTTATTTATTAAAGGAACTTTTTTTTGTAACTAATATAAACTCTCAAAATGTAATTGTTTGATCGGAAAACAAACTCGTTTAACAAACTATGTAAAAACAATTAATAAACCTAGACAGTAATATTGACACCTTAAAAACACATTAAGAGGCTCCACAGATGCTGCTTTTATGACTAAATTGTACCTGCAAAGTGATAATTTTTTACTGGGTGAATTAGAGCCCACTCAGCCGCTTCAATCCATTCTTGCAACAGCTTGCAGACACCAGCAGCATGCAGACATACAGCGAGTTGCTCTGAGGGAATATTATAGTGGAAAAATAGGTTCCGTCAAGGTGTTATTATAACAATTGAACACACATCATTATCATCTTTAATGTGGTTGTCTTTGTTCACACAGCAGCTGGAGGTTGTGTATACTGATATTTCAAAATGACTGAGCCCATTAGTAGAAAACATTGGTCTTATTATATTAAACATCTCACAGCGACAAAGCCACAGATATTTAACAAAATGTCCAATAATTTAAGACGCTGCTTGCAGCGTATGATTTATTGTTCATTATAAGTTAAATGGTCTTATATTTCCATTTCAATTTATTTTACAAATGTTTTGTGTCTTCTGTTTACTCTTCAAAAGCTTGTTTTTGTGCTGGTAATAGTTGTCTAGGTGTTTTTCACATTCAGCAAGGCCTGCTGGGAAGAGGTCTCCATGTCTCTATGATTCTCTGCAGAGAGCAGTTGGCATGTTGACAATGATGGGCCTGCAGCTTCTATTTATGCATCCTCCTTGTCAACCTTTCACAAGCTGAGGATGAACTAGGGTATGTTTACAGATATAAAAGTGGGCTCCTCTCAAAAAAGCATTCCGTGTACAAAATACAATTCAAAGTAAGTTAGTGTAGGCTGCGTTTCAGTGTTTGCATGTGTTTACATATCAGTCCTATTCGGACTTTAAACTGTGCATCTAAGAAGATTCACGTGTAGCATTTGCTAGGTAATACACATTTAGGATCCACATCCACACAAACTAATATTCAACTGTCTGTAGAGGCTGATGGAGTTTATTTAGATCGCCTGTATTGATTCTATAAAGCTAGCATGTCCTCACCACAGTGTGCTATTTCTGTTTTCCTGTGTTCCTGTCAGACAGTTATGGATGTTTTGATTTTTTTTTTGTTTACTAAGGCACATTTTCCAATTCCAAGTGTCTATTAGTGTGGCATGCTAAACTAAATTGACATATTTCCATGCAGTTGTCTGACTGGCTGTGGCCGACAGAGCCCTGTCAGCGATGACAGTGGCAGAGATGTGGATTGATGGCTTTGTGTGACACCCACAGCTGCCAGAAGGCCAGTGCATACCTGCGTCGCAGCCATGCCAGCTTGGTGATCATAGACAAGCGCTGACAGGCCGCAGTGAGGTGGACGGGGTTAGCTCTCTAAGTTTGCATAGTGTCTCCACAGCACAGTCGACATGGCAAACAATATCACCAGGGGAGATAGCCTTACAGCGACGTGAAGGTCAGAAACTTATGGAGATAAAAGAAATGTTTCTTCGAAGACT